TTTTAAGTGGCCTAAGTAAATTGACGAAAAATGTCAAGAGGAAACGAAAGACGCTATGCATTTTTGCATACGTGAGAACATATATATTTATATTTTTATATTGTTTTATATTTTTCTTTTTGCCGACTACAAAACTACAGTTTAAAAAGCATACATCAAAAGATATATAGTCGGGTTATAGTTTTATTTTCAATGTATATTTTAGCAAATTTACATGCATTATTATAAGCGCTCAAATATGAGCGAAAAACTGCATTAAAACGATAAATATCTATCTACAAGTGAATAAGCTTTTAAGTTAAAGTTTTTGAAATGTAAAAATATTCACATTAGGAGTATTTTTAGTGCAACAAACGAGCGTGGTACTGGTGGTAGTACTTTAAGATCAAGAGATCATATGACGCTTAATAGTTTTGTGAACGAAATTTTTCAAGGTATTTTTATTAATAAGCAATTTTGGAAAAAATATTACGTTATTTACTACTAGAACGGATATGTCTAGTTCTCCTAAGTGGGTGTAAAACGTAGGATAAAGTTTTATTATATAATTTCAAAACTGATTAAAATGTTTCTTGACAAGACGACGACGATCTTACCCAAGATCCGACGGCGACGCCTGCAACAACAAATCAAATCAAATCAAATCATCATTTATTTCACACCTTTTTTTACAAAATAGGGATAAGTTGCCTCATTGGAAATATATGTATTATTACAGTGGTTTTGGGAAGTTGGAGTAACTAAAAGTTTTCTAAGCCAACTCCCCTTTGAATTAGTTACTGTATGGTCAGACTATATTGATAAATTAATATATTTAACATAATATTTAAATAAATTAATAACAATAAATTAAATAATTTGTTAAGAGCAAACTAGAGGAAGTTTGACGTCTACTGCCAGTACTGGCATGGAAGAAATAAAAGAGTTAAAGGAATTGATGAAGCAGGTCTTGAAAAGCAAGACAACTTAGAAAGTCAAATGAGAAAAATTGAGAAGCAGCTGCGGTGCAAATCATTTGACTTTGCCAAGTCAACACATGCGGTAAAATAGTGACCTTATTTTTATAAAGTTTTTACTTACATTATACTTTCAGTTTATATTTTGAATAGCAATTCATACTTTTATCCACTGTTCAACAGGAAAATGTTACGAAAATATATGCAAAAGCATATATCCAGTTAGGACGGTTTGCCAAACCTAATGAAAGCAAAACTGTAAGTTAATACATAACCAAGCTAACAGTGAGAATGTCAATAAATGTCACTGAAAACCTCAAACTCAAACAGTCGGTTTGGTTTTCAGGAGCAAGTTCAAAATGAGCTACGCAATTCGCCTTACGGGATTAACTTGGAAGATCTTCTGCAAATGGCTGAAAGCTTCGAAAAAACAAAATTTACTTACTGGAGGGCTGAGGAGAGACGAAGAGTAAGCCAATTTTAAGCCGGCCAAACAAAACAACTTCATCCAAACATTGTTCATATATACATGTACGTTGAACGGCCCGTGTTGAAGCCATAAGTAATTTATTTTTCACATCTGATGGTTTATTTAGCTCCTTGGGATAGGTACATGGTCATCCCTGCTCAGCACATCCACCAACGAAATTGCAGCCGAAATCTGTGGCCTAATTGGTGTCAAATTTAATTCTGTTTTGGAATCAGCTGTTCTTCGCCAGACGGCACTTGTAGTAAAATTTTCTTGAAATTACAGAAATTACAACCAAACTTGCTTGACACAGTATCTAAAAATAAAATTAATCATGTGTCATTTTGCATGCAAAAAATACGTTGAAATATTAAGGTGAAATATTTTCACCTCACCTTCGAATATTCCTGGCAATGTGCACACAAGCGTCGTTTTCGAGCGTTTTCAAAAACACTTTCGACTTTATTATCGTTTTGACGACCTGTTTATACGATCCAAATGAAAATATTTTTAATATGTTAAATAATATTCAACTTCCGTAGTAAATTGGTAGTGTTAGTACTCTTTTTTTCCGTGAAAACACAAACGGAAACGTTTGAAAAAGTTACCGCGTGCACATTCTCTAAGAAATTTCAGATTACATACCTGTAAAACGATCGACGTTCAATCCATCGTTATTCGATATAAGCGATGCCTTTTTTAACACATAAACAACGTCTTAGCTTTATAAATGGAATTTATGCCAGAAATCGGATCTAAAAACAGTAAAAACAACAAAATACTCTCTTTGTACGAAACACTGCTTCATTTTGAAACTGGCATTTTCAAACTGCCAGTCTGACTGTCGGATTGGCCTGCCAGACGCCAACTGAATTAACAAGCATGTGATAATCACAGCCTGAAACTCAGGCATGTGTAATTATTATATCTTTAAATCGAATATTAAAATTAGCAATTTCTTTTTTAAGTTCAGTCCTACTAAAGAACAGGGAAACAGTTATTATTGTTATTGGTCGTAGATAATTTACATTTTTAGTATAATGGTTAAAACACATACTTTTTACCATTGATGAGAGTGTTCAAACTTTACTCAATTTCATATAGAGAGAATATATTAAGGAGAATGGCCTAGCTGAATGCCAGAAGGATGATAAATTCTGGATCAGCTTTTACACATGGCAGGAGAGAGTGTATGGAAAGAGAGGGCCAAGCGAGCTGCAATGGGAAGGGATTTTAGGAGAGGAGTAGTAATACAGTTAACCATATTTGTTCATTATGGCACTCATTATACAACATATTAGAACAAATTCTATAAGCTTTATGTACTTGTATACTCTACAATTTCAACTCAAATTGACTTTGATAATCAACTACTATGAAATCTCTATATCACTGTAGCATGAATATATAAACAAGCAAATGTGTATAAAAGCACATTTTTCAAATTGTTTCATTATGACAAGGCGAATCAGATTCAAAATCAGATGCAAAGATCCATGCAATATATGCTGTTTTGAGGCACCATAAATGGCCACCAAGCAGATCAGCTACATGATAGGTCGAATTGTTCTTGCTCACCTCAATAAACATGTTCTCTAATATTGAGGTGTATACCAAAACTCAAAATATTATGCAAAGGCTAATTATGCAAAGGAATTAATAGTTCCAGACTATGCAGCTCCAAACTGTAATTGCAATGTAACAATTTGTTCTACTGTTGTTAAAATTGAGTAGCCCTTTGTTAATATATTTTATTGTTAATTCGATTATTGTGTTAATATATTGCTATTTGTAAAATGCGACAATTTACTGAATCATACATTTACCCAGTATACCCATTTAACTGTAAATATATATTTAATGCCCATGAAATAATGTAAAAGTATTTGAATGCAACATAATATTAAATCATTATATAAGTTACCTTATGTTTACTTATTAAATGTCTGCTTGTGTGTGCTGGCTCTACAAAATAACTTATCTCATAGCTTTTGACACAGTCTTGTTTCCAACCTCGTACCCAGGGTCTTTACTCGTCGGGAGTAAAGACCCTGGTCGGGGCTGGTCACGTGGCTCTTGGAAAATTTGTTGCCTTAGGGGGTGAGAGCAAAGTATCAAATTACATGTTTCCACATAGCTTGGAAAGTTTTTCCTTTCGCCATGTTTGATTAAATTGTAACATTTTGTACATTGTGGTTAAGTTTTTACTTGCTTGGAAATTGCGTGAATTGCATGCCGATATCATTTTAAATTCAAAAGAAATTATTTGCCCTGATGTTATGTGTGTATTATATATGGGCTAGTAGTATTATGGAAAGTCTCAAGTTTCCATCTTGCCAGTGTTGCTGCTCGTCAAAGTCAACATGCATAGCGATTTATTGCTAAACTGGAGATCAAGAAGTGTTGCTGCGGCAGACCATTGAATTTCTCGATGATGCAATGCGCAATTAAGCTACAATTTATTAACGTGAAGCAGCCGAACAACTATTCTCCGAACCTTTGTGTAATGAAAAAGATCGTTTTTGTCCATCGACAAACATTGACACGTTTGGACATGAATTGCTCTTAATAATCAAGAAAGCGTCGTTGCAATTGTAGTTGATAAAACTCGTATAATGAACTTATAACTTGGTAAGTATAGTGTTTTGTTAAAACTTGAACAAATGTTTCAGTGGCATTTTTTATGAATTTATAATGCAACTTTTTAACATAGTGCAACCAAATTAATGTTACCTGACTGAGCTCTTACAGGAATCTATGCTATTGGGAAAGGTTCAACATTTTTTTTTGGAAACATTATTTTTTAGGGAAAGTCACTTCAGTAAAGACTGTGCAATGTTTCCTGATGTCACACTGGAAAGAACAGAGTATGAATGCAGGACAGTATGCATGAATTTTGTTAGACATTTTACTATTAATTAAAGTCAGTGAACTGAAAGATATTGTCAGTATCATTCAGTAGGCCATTAGACATATGCTGTGGGGTATGTGAAACTGAGGAAAAACTCCAATTGTTCAAATTTTTGTATTAGGAAACTGTATTTTACAATATAAACCAATGCTTGCATTTCAGCAACATATATAATAATTTTATATAGTAAATATATACACCAAATTATTTAGGTACCTCTCATCAAATATGGTATAACAACTGCCTAAAATAGATGGCCTGAAGTATGAAGAGTTCCTGTCGAGAATGTCGCCTCCAAACTGTAGTCCTCGACAACTCACAAATTAAAAACCCTTTAATAAACTATAAACCTTTACAACAACAATACTTGTGCTCGATGCATCACTACCTCGTAGCGCGTCACTAGTCATACTAACTCTCATGTTACCAAAGTGTCACGTGACATCCCTAATGCTAATAACTATGTAATCTAATCTACGTAATGTATATTGTATAATAACTGTATTCTTATCTGTCAGTTCTCAACACACTCCCCCATATAGCTCGTTGAAGAGGTATATGTCCACTTGAGACTGACTTCGTTGTTGTCCTCTTGTGATGTCTAAACAAAACTAAATATTAATTTCGTATAGTAAAATTGTTAATTTAGAAGGAAAGGTTTCTCTTAGAAGATTTTGTCTTCCTTTGCTTGTTGCTCGATTCGTAAGCTTGCCGCAGCAGCTGAATCTCTTTTCTCTCGTGGAACAAAGGCGGGGGCCTGGGGGTCAGGTTTCTGGAAGTGGTTATCGTCGCAGGTTAACTCAAGAGGGTATAGTTGTTGGATTGCTCTTTCCAGTACTCCGTTCACTGTTTTGACTTTAGCTCCCCGTACGACGCCGTCTTTTCCCTTAATCATATCTAAAACGATCCCGAGTTTCCACGTTTTCCGGTTCCTGTTATCATCCTGAATGATCACGGCTGACCCCTTTCTTGGCACTGACGCTTGTCGACCTCCCTGGTTCACGTGACGTTCACGAAGGCTTCGCACGTACTCACGAGTCCACCGTTTCCACAAGGCTTGTTTGCATTTCTCGAGAATCTTCGCTCTTTTTCGAAGTTCTTTATCCTCCAAGTTATAGGCTTCCAGGACAGGCACTTGACCAGGATTGATGTTTAACATCGAATTTGGCGTAAGTACCGGCAACTAGACGTCATCTTCCAAGTAGCATAACGGGCGATCATTAAGTGTAACCTCCACGTCTAGCACGACATCTTGTAACTCTTCCAACGTAAGCATTCCGTTGCCAATGGACTTATAAAACACTCCCTTGAAAAGACCAATAAGGCGCTCATACTGGCCTCCCCACCACAGTGCGAGACTCAGATTGAATCTCCATTGTATTGAACGTTCCGAAAGGAGACTGTTCAACTGCTCGTCGTTCTGGACTTTCTTCAGCCACTTCGATGCTGCTTTAAAGGTAGAACCATTATCCGAATATATGATCTTGGGTCGTCCTCGTCTTGCAATGAAGCGTTTTAAACTCGCTATGAACTCCGTAAGTTCCAATGATTTAAGAACTTCGAGATGTACGGCTCTTGTGAGGCTACAACCGTAAAGAACCAGATAAGATTTCCCGAACTTCTTCCCTTTTGGTTTGTACCGTATAGGTCCCGCAAAGTCTACGCCGAGCACTTCAAACGGTGTGGTTCCCTCGGTGCGAGTTGATGGCAGTTTTCCGGGGGGTGGTTTCTCGTAGGATTGGACTCGGAATCTCTTGCATCCCCAGCAGTTGGTTCGAACGCGCTTAACTAACCGTCGTAATTTCGGGATCCAATAATGTTCCCTGATTCTCGCCATAGTCATTCCTACTCCGCCATGTAAGGTCGAATGGTGAGCCCGCTCTACTAACTTAAGAGCGACTAGGTGACTGTGGGGTATGTAGATGGGATACTCTCCTTCGATTCGTCCCCGACATTCTAAGATTCCATCCTCGTTTAACTGAAGGTTCAGATTCACCTCGTCTTTCCCAATTTCGTTGCTGTTCGTGGCGTCACGCTGTGCTCTTTTGATCCACCACGAGAGTTGTGTCTCGATCTCTACGGTCTTTATGGGGCCATATTGTCGTTCATTAACCGCACGTTTACAATTTTCGACGAACCTTCGAACCCATGCTCCGATCCTTAAAACCTTGCGAAGTACACGCTTCTCAAGTAGCTCGTCTAGTTGATCAGAAGCTCTCGGTGCTGCTGTTGTCGTGGTGAAGACGGTTTTCAAGCACTTCCTTTCAGCTCTGCTTTCTTGACTGGGTTCCAGGACAATATTTGGGGGCCACTTGCTCGGATCACTCAGCCAGTCAGGACCTTGTCGCCATAACTCGCTGTCTACACACTTGTTTCCTCGACTCCCCAAGTCAGCTGGGTTTCCTTCGGAGGGGACATGGTGCCATTGTACATGTGCTTGCTCCTTTATCTTCGCTACACGATTAGAGACAAACTGTCGATACTCCCCCTGGCCGTTGATCCAGTAAAGAGTAACAGTGGAATCACTCCAACAATGGACTGCCACGACCTTTACGACGGTATCAATAGCACGCTCTACATTCACTACCAGATTCTTTGCCATATGAGCAGCTACGAGCTCGAGTCGGGGTATGGTAAGGTTTTTCTTGGCAAGGCGCGACTTTGAGCAAACCAGACCTTGAGTCGTACCGTTCCTTTGTTCTACGACCGCATACACCGCCGTTGCTACGCCGAGTTTGCTGGCATCACCAAACGCGTGGAGGGTGACTGCTGTTACGTGTTGAAAAAACGGTGCTAAAGTCCGTGGTACTGTAAATGTCATCGATACTACGAGTTGCCATTCTTCCCATCGTTTCTTGATTTCCTCAGTTAGCACCCCGTCCCATGGAAGTTTGGCTTCGCACATTTCCCTGTAAAGTTGTTTCGCGACTAAGGTCGTTGGGGAAACCAAGCCTAAAGGGTCAAAAACTTTCGCTAGCTCCGACAACGCCTCTCGCTTGGTTGTTACTGGCTTCCGTGTTGTCTCAACGCTGAGTGTGTCCTTCGTTTTGTCCCATGGCAACCCGAACAACTTCGTTTCTCGCTTGTTCGTATCGGGTTGAGCTGTTCCAAGGGAAGGTACCTCGTTGTTGTCAGACATGTTTTCTTCAAGACTCGCAACATTCGAATGCCATTTGTGTAGTTTGAATGATCCATCTTTGAACACTTCGACGACTTTTTCCTGTTTCGTTGTCACGGTTTCTACCGATTCTCCCCCCGTCATCAGGTCGTCGACGTACAGCCCGTCTCGGACTTCTTTAACTAGGTTTGGATATTTGATCTCCCATCGTTTTAGATGTTCGTTGATAACTCCACCGAGGAGAAATGGTGAACACGTCATTCCGAACAAAGCTCGAGTGAACCGATATACAGTCGTCTCTTTGCTTCCAGGACTTCTCCAGAAAAACCGTAAGGAATCTCTTTCTTGCTCTTTAATGCGAATTTGTAGAAACGCTTTCTTGATGTCGCTGGTCGAGAGGATGGGATAAAAACGTGCTCGGACGAGAATATTCCACAGTTGGTTTTGGAGTGGTGGGCCGGGGTAAAGACAGTCGTTCAATGACGGTTGATCACTCGATTCCTTCGCCGAGGCGTCGAAAACTATACGTAGTTTTGTGGTTTCCGCCGACTGTTTAACAACGCCTTTATGCGGTAGATAGTGTTCTTTGCCACTCGCTTCGACTGGAGCTGGTTCTATGATGCCTTGGTCAAGTTGTTCTCGGATGATATCGTCATATCGTTCGTAGTTGCCTTCACGAGTTAGTTTCTTTATCACAGTTGTTAATCGCCGTTTACTGCCCGCTTCATTCGTAGGTAGACTGGGATGGTTGGCTTTCCATGGCAGGTTGGTCTCGTACCAACCTTCGGGGTCTCTCGTCAGCTGCTCTTTGAAGTCCTCGTATACTACGCTCTGGTCGTTTTCCGTCGTGTCAGCCTACCCGAGAACATCTAACCTGCATAAACGCTCGAAATCTGAGTGCGCTGTTTGAGTTAAGAGCATCGTATTACGGTCAAACTCAACCCCAGGACTCATGATGAACCAGCCAAACTTTGTCTTTTCTGCCACTGGTTCGTAGTCGCCGCCAATAAGAGGTTTTGTGCTTGTTTTAAGTCTCGCGTATTCCCCGTTTCCTAACACTAGGTGAATGGGCAGGTTTCCTTTCGTATCAAGGTCATCGACAATAACGTCTTGAAGGTGGTCGTATTTGCGTTTCAGTTCCTGGTATCCAGGGTTAGTTACATTGAGTAGTTCTGGTTTTTCCACTTTAGCTAATTTAACATTCATTTTGTAGCTTCCATCAAGAGCGCTAATTTCCGTATCGTAATATTCCAGACGTGTCGTCTTTGATCCCATTAGCATGTCAATGCGTTGAATTTCGTCTCGCTCGGTTTTTCGTCAATCATCGTTACAAGTTTTGCAGACGCATACGACCCCCGGCGCCAGAGTCAATTAGTGCGCGACACATGACACCGTTTACTTTTACTACGACTACAGGGAATATTCCTTCACCAGTTGCACCGTCTGTCATCAATTTCTCTTTGTTTCCGGACGATTGGCGCGGTTGTTGGCAGATTGATGAGTCATGACGTTGTTTACAGTGCTGACATGACGTTTTGCTAGAACATTCCGCTGCGCCATGTTTTCTTGTAGCACAATTAAAACACAGACCCTTTTTAGTTAAAATTTTCTTTCGTTCGCTCGTGTCCGTTATTTTATCACACTGCGTCGCCTTATGACCCATGTCCTCGCAATAAACACAGCCTCTTACTCTCGCTTCGTCCTCGCGCACGTGAAAAACACTCTTGCGTTCCTCGCGCGGTTCTTTCTCGCTTGAAACGGCTGGGTTTCGTTTAACCCATTGACGCACAGCTTCGTTTAGCTCAGCAAATCCCCAGGACTCCCAATCGGAATCGGTACGGACCAAATCCCCCCTAATTGCAGCTAATTTTCCCAGTGTCATTGCGACATTTCCTCTCACTTGCTCAAGCTTTTTCATAGTGTCAAGCGCTTGGACGCAATAGGACAGTTTCTCGCTGAACTCTGCTATTTTACGTGGATTTGCGTTGTTTATACACGGCAACTCTAGTATTTCTCTCACGTAGCTATTCACAATCTCCGATTCCTTCCCAAACTTATCAAGGAGAATCGACTTGGCACGATTATACCCTTCTGACGTGAATGGCAAGGTTTCTACACAACGCTTAGCTTTATGACCGAGTAGCTCTCGTAAATACGTAAACTTGGTAATAGGGGCAATCGAACTTTGGTCGATAGCTTCGCTGAATTGTCCCCAGAATCTAGGCCAATCCATAAACGAACCATCAAACTTGGATATTACTAATTTCGGTAATTTTGCAGTCTTAAAGTCAGAACATTCCTGTATTTCCGGTTTGGTTTGAGACAGTTCGAGTTCAGCTTTCATCTTTAGTCGTTTTTCATGCAATTCTAATTCTGCTTTAAACTGCTCCTCTCGCTCTACGTGTTTTTCAGACTGTTCCTTATCGAAAAGCCATTGTTCCAAACGTTTTATTTCCGCATCACCCTGCTCAATTTTAACTTCGATCTGGAGATTCCAATCGTTAATATCTTCAATATTTCCGTCAGCCTCAATTTTTTCTGCTTTGACAGCACGTTTATGTTCGTTCGTTTCGCGAACGGTTTCACGTATGGCAATGAGGTGCCGCTTAATACTTTCAGGCTTACCTGAATCTAGGATATTTCCAGTTCGTTCCACGCCAAGCTTCAACTGCTTCAACTTGGTCTCTAACTTTTTCTCCATATCTTCGCCGGACAACCGTGTGTCGTTGAAATCTGTTCACTTGTATTCGAATATAGCTGGCGTTTCAGCTATCCCGTCGGAGGTGCCACGTGTCGAGAATGTCGCCTTCAAACTGTAGTCTTCGACAAGTCACAAATTAAAAACCCTTTAATAAACTATAAACCTTTACAACAACAATACTTGTGCTCGATGCACCACTACCTCGTAGCGCGTCACTAGTCATACTAACTCTCATGTTACCAAAGTGTAACGTGACATCCCTAATGCTAATAACTATGTAATCTAATCTACGTAATGTATATTGTATAATAACTGTATTCTTATCTGTCAGTTCTCAACA